AACTCCGGGCAAAATCCAAGCGTAGGGTAAAATCGCCGATTTTGAATAACCCTCTTTATACGCTTCGAAAACTACTTTTTGATGAGAAGATGATGTTAGTCAGGATAATTTAAGATGAGCATTAATAAAAGGTTTTACTTTAGTATGTATGAATATTACTTACAGTGGCAGCATGAGGTCGAGAATTATAGTATAAAGCACCTGACCCTATGTCACCATTTGTATCTAACGAGCCAAGCGCTAAATGGGATCTAGACTGTCCCACTCGGCCCCTGATTTTTGATTCTCTGAAAACAGGGGGAAAATTTTTTTGACAGATTAATTAAGAACAGTAGGATACAAGTCTTTGACTGGAGCTTCAGAGAACAAAATTATCTGCACAGCACGTTACTTTGTCTCAAGTAACTGGGAGGGAAACTGAATAACAGCTTCACTAATTTCTGTAAATTTTACTGGATACTTTTCATAGGATTGCTTGTTGATTGTTGATAATAAAAAATGAATCGGAGAAAATAAATAGAGGTGATGAAAAGCATAAAAAGAGTGGGCCTTGATATCACTAAAATCCATTTTGCATTGACATATGTGCTTATCCGGCTGTCAAATTTGAGAAATAATTAAAATGAATGTTAAAAGCAGAACTCATTGTGGGTAAGCAGACACTTTTTCACTTTTGACTATCAAGCGCAGTAGACGGTTTAATGCATCTACGCAAGGCAGCATTGTTCCCTTTGGTCAAACCTTGATCGTCTGGACAGCAACAATTTTTTCACATACAAATGGAAAGTAAACATCAACCTTTGGCATAATCCACCTTCTAGATGCGGAAATGCTATTTTGAAATCTATGATCGATTTTAAGGAGCGAACTAACTTGCATTAATTACAAAAATGTGTTTTCAGTAAATTGACATTCTGAACAGCCAATTTCTCTTTGAAAATCGATTGGTGCCCCTGGAAGGGGCAAAAAACTAATGGTTACCTAATCAATTAAATAATAAATGAATTAATTATTATTAATTATATCAATGGGTACCTACCTATTTAAATCAGCAAATCGATGATTATTTTCTTCATCTTCCTCATCATCTTGATCTTCTTCCCTAGTTAGAGACTTCTTGATCACAACAACGGGTGGAACTTTAAGCTCTAGAGCACGAGGTTGAGAGGGCGTTCCTTGTGCTTGTCTGAGGCCTTTGACTTGTCTTGTAGCGAGAACAAGCCGACGAGGAATTGACATTATAATTACAACATCGTCTAAACTCATTCTTGTTACATCGACTAAATTAACGGCTAAGATTTCATCACCAACCTGAAAAATGTAGCAAAGTATTCATACATTATATGAAGTACATGAAAAGTAAAGTAAATAAAATTGTAGAGGATCTAACTCAATTAAAGGTATCATTAGTGTAAGTAACGAT